ACACACACACACACACACACACACACACACACACACACACACACACACTGCAGTGTCTTCAGCAAGCGGGAGGCAGGGCAAGACTTTGGTTTCAATCTCTGACTGTAGCAGACAGCCTGGAGGGGCCTGAGAAGATCACTACATACAGGAAACAGTGATGTTGGTGGGCAGGGCTGTAAGCCGGCAGCGGGCCATACAGACAGATGAAGTCTTTTCAGAGGAGAGCAGGTGAAGACCACTGTGCTGTTTACAACAACCCCAAGATTCTTAGGAGATGTGGGCACAGGCTGTTCCACACGGTAAAGGGCCTCCTGGGTTTTGCAGCTGCACTGCATTTTGCCAGTGTCTTCCTCAACACAGATCCTAGCAAATGGAATACAACCCACTGCTGTGGAAAAGCTCAGAAGAAACTGAGTCAAAAAGAAAGTGATCGAGGATCAAGGCTACTTTCCCAGTGCATGGCAGCTTTACCCTGCATAGAAAAGTATCCTTACAGGCAACAGAATGTAAAGTGTTATGTCAAACACCAAAACCACACCAAAAAGAGCATCTGTGTATTATGGGGGTCAGGGGATCAATGCAGAAACTTCTACAAGGCAAGGCTGTAAAGATCTAATCCATGAAGAGAAGACAGGTTTACAGATGTGTAGTCCCAGGCTAGACCATTGCAGTTGCCTGCATTGGCACTGAGAGGGGAGGGAGCACACTGATTTCACAGAGGCCTGGAAAGGTGAGCATCCACACTGGCCACTGAATGAAGCAACCTTTGTGAAACAATCATCTTTCCTGAGTTTCACCACTAAGAATATGGCTCTGAACTACCATGTCACCAACTCCCCCCACCCAGGTCCCGGAATTCCTAAGGAATCCTGAACAACACAGACCCATGGATCCTTTTTAGAATATGTGTGAAGGACCAGAAGGATGAGTGGCACAGAGGGACTGCCCCAGTGTGCAGGTTCCCAGGGTGTAGGAGGAACAAGCCATGTTCTATAAGCTCAGAAGCAGAGCGCAGTGAAATTGACCCGAGCCACCGCGTCTAAGAGCTAAGCTGTGCCCCAGTTTTCTAAAACTTCCACAGCCCCTGAGCCATGTCCACTGCCTGTACCCATTGCTTCTGAAGGCAAACTGATCTCAGCTGGGCCTCAGTGGAGAGGAAAGAGTAAAGCAGGGTATGGTGGTTCATGCCTGTAATCCCAACAATGAAGGCCAGCTTGAGCTGCATAGATCCAGGCTGGCTGCACTACAGAATGAGACCCTGTCTCAAATAAAAAGGGGAAGGCAATAAAGTATCCAGGGCTCTATGGCTGCACACACATCTACATAGGCACAGCACGCTAGAGGAAAAGCGCCAGCCGCAAGGGCTCAGGCCTCCAAGCCTAGATAATCTGACTTTTGCCTCTGTGCTGAGGGCACTCTGCAACTGTAGCAACTGTTGCACAGGTCAATGGTCTGTGAAATACAGAAGGCAGGCAGCTCTCAATAGTGCCGGACTCCACCGTACTAAAGGCATCGCGGTCAAATGATGGTGCAGTTGACAGTTACGGCAGGGGAAAGTCCTAAAGGTTCCTGGGGCTACCTCCCTTTAGGGAGTAAAGCAGAAATGGAATAGGCCAGACTTTACAATGGGCAAGGAGGGAACTTTGTGTCATCCTTGAGCTGGAAACCTAGGTTGGCTACAAATTATTCCAGAAAGTGAGTCAGTCTATGAGTGTCACGTGGCCCTTGTCCCCTGTTCTGCAGCTACACAATCTTGTAATTTTACTATAAAGGGGCTCACCATCTGGTGAGCTAAGTGAGGCTGCAGGTGTGGTCCAGTTGACAAAGCAATAGCCAAGCAAGATCCACCATAAGCGCTGTCATGGGCTACTATGGGGTTCAATGGACAGGAGATGCGGTGGATCACCTGGTCAAGTCAGCACATGGGAGATGGAGGCAGAAGGACCAGGAATGGGAGGTCATCTTTAGCTACCTGATGAGTTCAAGGCCAGCCTGAGCAATAAAAGATCTTGCCTCTGCCACCTGCAAAAAACTAAGTTTAAGAAAGCAAAAAAACCCAAACAAACAAGTAGTAAATAACTGAAAAAAATCTATGGGGAAAAAAGAAAAAGCAAGAAAGCAAAGATTCCAGCTTTGGTTGTGTTGACAGGAGGGTGGTGGGTGGTTGTAACCAGTACCCAGTGGGAGTGGGATCACCAGGAATTTTCAGTTCATAGCATCACTAGCCACCACAGTGTGTTCTCTTTGACCCTGAATGCTGGCAGGCTACCTGGTAAATTCATCCAACAGTCCAGAAACAATCAGCATTCAGGTGGCCCAAATCACCTGTTACTTGTCTGTTTTGTGACTTAGAAAAGACATCTTCCAAACCTTTATCAAGAACTTTTGAGTGTCCTTTCTGGTTAGCAGTGGAACAGTTGCTCATGTGCATGGTCATTTCCCCCTGAAGCAAATCTAAGAGCTGGGACAAGAAGTGGCAGTTCTGTCATCCACAGTGGCCAGTGCCAGACCTCAGATAGCACAGGCTATGGGGTCAACAGCACAGGCCTGCAAAAAGAAAGATTTACAATAAATAAT